CCACTACCACTACCACAACAACAACTACCACTATCACTACCATTGCCACTACTAGTACTAGTACTAGTACTAGTACTAGTACTAGTACTAGGCAGAACGATAGATAGATAAACAGGTATAGGTAGGTAGATATTATATATATAAATATAGGAAGGAGCCGCACCCCTGCAATAGTGGACACAAACAGAAGCACAATTTAAAAAACAAACACCAGGCAACATAGGAAATTGTGGTCTGGGTGTGATAATAGTTGGTTTTGAAACAAGCCTGGTGTTTCGGGTTTATGAATGGAGCCTCCCCTAGAAAGCTGAGGTGCTAGTACAAGTACTAGTACTAGTACTCGTACTAGTACTAGTACTAGTACTACTAGTATTACTAGTACTACTACTACTACTACGACGACGACGACGCCGGCGGCGGCGACGGCGACTACTACTACCACCACTATCAGCACAAGCACATAGTACAATACTAAAGCCACTACATCAATTTCTTGGATCCTCAACCCCAGCACTCTGCAGGTCCGGTTGCCTGGGCCACGTGCCTGCGTCTGACAAGGACGCTGGGACTTGGGTATCTGGCCCCATAATTGTGGTGGGGAACCTAATTGCAGGGCATTTACAACAATTGCGAAAAACAAAGCTTTTGTGGGATCCTGGCAACTTCGGGCTTTGTCTTGGGCTGCGTGCTGGTGCACTACAAGCCTACGCGCTGCAAGACTCGGCGTCTCGGTTCAAAAACGTTGAGGACTGAGAAGGTTTCAAGAAGCGTTTGTTTGTGAGGTCACCACGGTTACCACGATATACCACGATCACCAGCAAGAAGTTCTGTCCCACATTCAGGGGAACATACGGAATGCGATCGGCTGACCACTCGCAAGATATGCAATGTTCCGAAACACTGGAGCAGCCTTGTAATCGTAAATCTCATCATGCTGAGCGGTGCTAAGAGCTGCGGCATGAGCCAGCTACAATTAAAACACTTAGTACAGAACTCCGCAAACTCTAATTGGCATCAATAGGATGACGGAAGAAGCAGAATCCCGGGCCGCCGAGCTTTCAGTGTGAGGCCTATGTCAAGGAACGGCGACCCGACCTGCCAAAGAGTCAAGTGCGGGAGCTTCGGTTCAGAGCCGCAAGTGCTCTGTTGTGTAATGCTGCCGGAGCTTAGCAAACATCTCGGATAGTTAGGGCATGGGGCTCAGGGACGAACGAGCCCTCGAAGCCATGGTCCAGAAGCAGCCGAACATGAAAAGAGCCTGCACAACCAAATCAACAAGTAGCAGATCGACCTGGCAGCAACAACAACCCTTGAACAACAGCGACACGACAATGCAATTGATTGTCTGTCACGTCCCTGCAAAGTCACACCAAGTCCAAAAAGTAGAGTACAAGCATGTAGGGACTCTGGGTGGTCGAACTGAAAAGCTGGCATCGCCTGCCAGTGGGCGGTGATACTTTTGGCTTGGCTTCAAGATCGAACATGATCTGTGGACGGTGAAGCGAGAGCTTGCTACTTGCCCTATTGTTTCTCACGTACAGAGCTGGACGGTAAATGTGCATATACAACTTAAGGCATACATTTTTGTCCACTTGAAGCCAGCACCGGCCAAAAAACAGCAAACACTTATATTTATAAGGCTATTGAGAGTAGCCGACTCCTGTTTCGCACGCAGCGTATCAACAGCGTCTGTGTCTTGTGGTCGGGCATTGACTTCGCCGCTTTAACCACGTGACGGGTCCACACTCCCTGTCCGAGGATTCCGACCACGTGCGAAGAACTGACAAGCCTAGCATGTGCAGATTCAGGCCCGTCACACCTGCAACCTCCGGTGTAGAGCCGCGTCGATAAAATTGAATGCGTCTAGTGAGACACGGGAGCCCAATGGGCAGTACGGGGTTTAGGTGAGATCACGCACGTCAACGCAACTACGCAGCTACAAATGAAGGTCGGGTCAGGGTGTGGACATATCTAAACTGGCAGAGTCCGTACAAACGGTCGCCTTTGGCGAGCCGACGGTGCTGTATTGCATCAGTTTACATCCTGCTTACAGCTCATCTGCTTGGACAAGCATGCGAATACACGCCCTTCACACACCCATTTTCATCAACGACGAAGTTGCACATCGCATCTTTGGCGACTTCCTGGCCGCGATACGTAAGAACCGTTCTATGTATATGTTACTTGAAGTTTACACGCATGTCACACTTGCATAAGCATAGCTGCAGAGTGATCATACGAAGTCTTTAGCACCGTGCCAACCCCTTATGGCCCCTTAACAAACAGTGTCCCACCAATGCATGGCACATGGCTCCTGGTCGAGCTGACCCCCGCGAGCGCAGCCTACAAATGCCTCGTCGTGGCGGCTCACATGGCAAAAGTCCTCCAGGCAGAGCTGCCGGGATAAATCGCTCAAGGGTCTCAGGGAGGGATGTGAGATTTACTAAGTGAGTACGCCAGCCTTGCAAGTCCCAGTCTGCCTTGCTGTCTCATGCTTGCTTCCCCAATGCTTCCCGTTATCAGCACTTGTGCAAGCGTCGAGTTCTTCTCCACAATCTTCCCCGGATGCTGCACTGGGTTGCTGAGAGTTATTTGGAGTATCATAGGCGCACTGTATGCGGCGGGGCCTTCTCGAAACACAGTCGCTTGACCCGCTTCTCCCTCCAAACTCATCCAGACCGTGCTCTGCTGCAGTCGCGTTCTGGCACCAGCTGTGTTCAGAGAGTGCCTGTGGACCACCCGATGCTGTTCCTTCAATGCTCTGCTGTGCAACTTTGCATGGCGATATCCTATGCCGCCAGCGGTAAGAGAATACAATCAGACCATGCCAAGCATAAGCAAAGAAAGAAACAAACGACAACCCCAAAATCAATAACCCAACACAAACGAAAGTGTTGTGACGTGATGCCGGCTGCCTCGGAACAAGGCAGCTACAACACCATGCAGCACAATGCTGGCTGGTATGCGATGCACATTGATCCAGTATCAGACGATATAGATATAGTCATATAGTACATGGTACGACTATTTGAGAACTGTTCGTCACAGTCTTACCGTCTGTGTTCTATACTCGGCTGAAAAATTCTGGGCACTTGCGTGGTACAAGGAGGCAGGGAGAGATGTGCTGTAGTGTGCTTGGCCATCCTCCGCTGCACTCTGTCCGCCAATTCGTTCGGGTGAGGTGTACTGTGCTTACTGAGCTATTGGCACTTTATTTTGCAGCCTGCTATTGCTTATCACAGCACCAATTGTAGGCAGTTGTGTGTTCTTTTGTATGTGGCATGCCATTCGCTTCTGCAAGGCCATGAAGTGTCCTCGGACTGCAGCAGCCCAGTCTCCAAAGGCAAACGGCCCACGACGATGCCCTCACAAGTATTGGAGCTTTGCATGTCGGGTTTATTGTGCTCAGTGGTCTGTTTTGGCTTTCTGGTCTTCAAAGCCAGCGCAAATGCTCGCCTGAGCAGCAAGTGCCCTCCAGAGCTCACGAGCCACGTGGTCGTGTCCTGAATTCACAGGAATTCAAGGAGAAGTACTGCATGGGAGACTTTCATTCCAGGTTTGGGGTCTCTCTGGGGTTTTCTTCTGATCTAGGACAGCTGGTTACGTTGAGGAGCCTGGAGCTGAAGGGACCCAGTGACGCTCTGCGAAGCCATCCCGATTGGCTTGGTGGCTTCGTGCTCCCCGGATAGGTAGCGACCCTCGACATTGGCAATCGCTGGGCTTTCCGTTCACGAAACGAAGCTTCCCATCATCAAGACGAGAAACTCCGGACCCAACACCAAAGGAGGGTCGTCTTTCCATTCTGGAGCAAGCGCCCAAGAACTGCAGCGAGATCTGGGACCACGTCAGACCAGTAAAGGACATCTGAGCACAAAATCACGTCGTAGTTGGGAAGGGCGTTCTTTGGCCAGTTCGCAACCACCTCGAGCAGAGCTTCAACTCCCTACGTCACGTGTTGCACGATTCTCTTGGACTGCAAGATGTTTGGCGGTACACTTGCGCACATGTCCGTGTAGCTGTCTGGAACTTTCAACTTATTTTGACAAGAGGGCAGACCCCAGGAAACAAACCCACAATATCTCCCTATCTCTCTCTCTCTCTCTATATAGCTTTATTTATCTGTTTATTTATTAAGATTATAGCTACATAGCTAGATGGATAGATCGATAGATGGGTACAAAGGAAAGGAGACAGGAAACAGAAGAGGGAGAGAGAGAGAGAGAGATAGACAGAGAGCGAGAGAGAGAGAGAGAGAAAGAGGGAGAGCGAGCGAGAAAGCCAGATTGAAAAGTGTGCGGCCCATACACCCGCGAACGAGCTGAATTTGATGGGCTCGTGACTGCAACTTGGCTCGACGGCTACTTGACCTCTGCCTGTCTATTTTATCTACTTTTGCGGCACGCCCGAAACTGAAATGCTGGAGCTGGAAAAGCCTGCAAACTTACACACTCCAAGCTGAACGGAGCCACCTTCCAGTCAAGCAAAGCCAAGGACGTGCCCGGCGAGCATAGGCTGTTCGCGGCCATGTTGCTAGCCGTCAGAGGGAGTACCTCTACCCATAAATCGCAGGACACCGAACGCTTAGTTCTGGACAATTTTGGGGCCGAGGAAAGGAAGGGCAAGCGATGCCCATTTATGCAATTGATCAGGCGGCATCTTGCATCGCGGGTCATGCTCGAGGCCAGCTTGAAACTCGAACAGACGAAACGACTTAGCAGCTCCTCGAGAAGCATTCGAGGGTCTAGGGCTGGAGCAGCAGGATCAGAAACCAGACACTTTGGAGATTGGAATGAGGGCCAGAGGCGAGCTGGGGTAAGAGGGCGATCTGACATTGCCGGTACTTTCAGGAAGGGGCTTGCGTGGCCACATTGAGAACATTCTGACAACGGCAACGTGTTGAAAGTGGTGGGAAGCTCAGGGTTTAGCACACGAAGTGTCCCTAGTAATCCAGGAAGTGGGCCATTCCGAGGGCAGGCTGTGTAAAGCTTCATGTGAGCAGCCAGAAAGCGATAGGCTAGTCAAACGGAAAACCACTCAAGTTGGTTGCTGAGCCGGCGGCATGTAGGAGGTCAGTGAGTGTGACATTGGCACCCAGCGAAGCTGCCGCAAGGCCAACGGCTCCTCTGTCAAAGGCTGAGGTCACATCACACTAAAATATCTGTGAATGTGCCTCGACGCAGCAGGAACCGTCAAGTGGGGTGCTTGTAGTGGAGTTGCAGAAGAATGCAAAAATGGTCATAAACATACCATGAGTTGCAGGCTGAAAGCTTCTTAGTCTAGGACCTGTTTCAGATGGGAAATCTGGATGCCTTACTATGTGAGGGCATCTACTCGTTTCCGATGCTGCTAGCAGCATGCATACTATGTGACCAGAGGCAACATGGTCCAACATAGCCCGCGGACAACTTCAGAACAGGACGCGCCCACTGTCTGGTTCTGTTCAGGCTGAGATTGCTTCGAGGTTAATTAGAAGAGCTGCTTGTCGGCTGTGTAACGATCTACACCTAGGTGTGTGGGATTGAGGAGTTTGCAGGAGTTGGGGGCTTAAGAAATTGGCAGATAAGCAGGACTGCAAGGGGACTGCACGTCTCAGGTGTAATACGATCGTCACACTGCGGCAGTTTCCACCATGCCCCTGCAGAACCTGCAGGTCCATCTTGCAGGTTGATAGGCCTGTATCAGTTTGGGAAGTCAAAATACAAGTTCTTGTGTTTGGGGTCGTAAGCTTCACAACAGGGCGTATGGGGCACAATGCGAATGTACTGGGCTTCCGGCTTGCCGGGTCTGTATCCGAACTTCGAGCTCAGAACCTGTAGCTCACGATATGGCTTACGATGCACAACTCCGGAGACCTGACGATCCCGAGCCATCTTCGGGATGTAGGCGGGGAGTAACTTCTGCGCATGGTGGGCATACGTCTGCCGGGAAATAGCACCAGTGGTATTAACTAATGGATGAAGGGACAGATGCGATTGGGACTACCTAGACCTACACTTTTGTTCATGTATCTGTTGTTTGAAGCACTGCTGAGCCCTGGCGATGCCTGTTCCACTGCCAAGCTCCAGGATGCGCTTGCCATTTAGGTACCTCTGCTT